TAAATTCAACATTTTGGGAGAAAACGTCCAACACGACCGCGTTGAAAATGTCTCAGCTGGAGTAGAGAGAGAGAAGGACATGAAGAAGAAGAAAGAGTACACAGGCAGTCATCCTAACCGTTACACCGCCGGTCGTTATTGTAACGGTCCATAATCCTCAGGCATCGACAGAATGGTGATACACTCCTGCTTTTTCCTCAAATAGACGCTTCTGGTAATGACACGACCCGGAGAGCCGCCGGGTAACGACACCCCAGAGGCACTTTCCTCCGAAAAACACCCCGTCAGTTTCATCCTGTCTCCATCGCAGCCTCCTTGGAGAGTCTGAGCAACAACGTCCGGGCGCAGAGGATGCTCTCGCGCTCCTCTCTCTCTCTCTCTCTCTCTCTCTCTCTCTCTCGCTCTCTCTCTCTCCCTCACCCCCTCGCACGCGCTCTCTCTCTCTCTCTCTCTCTCTCTCTCTCTGTTCTTTCCAGTCTTCTTCTGTGGTGCTGTTAGTTGGGTTGAGGAGGTCTCCCAGTTATTACTTTTACGACGTGAACGGTTGTGCTTGTCGTGTTAAATTAACTTAATTAGATCCCCAGTAGCTTCCAATAATATTGTACAGTCTTAGCTGCTGATGCTTGGCAAGTTTCTTTTGACTAACGTTAGGTTCTTCTTCTTCTTCTTCTTCTTCTTCTTCTTCTTCTTCTTCTTCTTCTTCTGTGCAATACCAGTATACCCTCCTGAAACTCTGTATCCTCATATGAGGACATCACATTTTGGGTTTACTTGACCTTATCCTTGATTCTTCTTAACTTAGACCTGTTGTCCTCTCAGTCTATTATCTTATTTTATTTTATTTATTATATTTTATTATCTTTATTAATATTTTTTGCTTTTATTTCTCACTGCTCACAATCATCTCTCAGGTGCAATATCAGTATACCCTCCTGAAACTCTGCATTCTCATATGAGGACATTTTGGGTTTACTCGACCTTATACTTCATTGTACTTAACTTACACCTGTTGTCCTCATTTGTGGACACTTTTTTTGTGCCATGCAGTGGAAGTAAGCGCACAATACACCAATCTATGTAAAAAACAAGATGGCAGCCATCTTTTATGGTTGAAAGTTGTTTATTCATGATTATGTCTGTAGTTTGATATGGCAACAAATCTGACCAATTTTAGCAACAGTCACAAGCTAAGACACTATTAATTAGGAAGTACTCATTTGAAGACACTGGGATTTTATTGTCATCTTGTTTAAGGACGTTGGGACTTAATTATTGGTAATAATGTTTAGTTTTTGATACTTAATGGGTCCTACTGATCCCAAATAACTAGGAGAAATTAAAAATGCATGCCAAACAAAAGTTAGGGTCTCAGGAAGATAGGCTAAACTGTACATTATCTATACTATCCCAGCAGTAAATAAAGTCAAATCAACCATTCAGTCTGTCGCTTAATTATATTTTCCTTCTCTTATATTGCTTTTTGTTTTTTATACTGTTTGCTTATTGTATTGCTCTTTGTTTTGTACTGTTTACTTATTAAACTGACCTGTGTTTTTCTTTTTACCTATATGTACGTATATAGTGCTTTGTGTTCTTTTCCACTGTTTCCTCTTTGCACTATCCCTCTGTTGTAATGGTGCAAATTTCCCCATTGTGAGACAAATAAAGAATTATCTCAGCTTATCTTATTGAAAGTTTAAACAACAAAACAAAGATCTGTCACAAATAAGCATCATATATGCATTCACAATCCTAAATACATACCAGAGATGAAAAAAGGAACAGAGCAAAAATAAAAACAACAAAATAATAACACTGACACATAAACTCACACACTGACAACCTCTCCAAGGTTAAACCTAGCCATCTTTCAGTTGCAGTTGATTATTGCATTGACCCCTAAGTTGCATGCAGCCAGCCAGTGAAAGGGCCCCTATGTAGACATATACTGATCAAGTATATTCAATAAAGAGTATGTCACCCTCTCAAAAGCAGCCAGTTGAGCCATTATCATAGTCCATTCCTCATATGGAGGTAGGTGGGTGTTTTTTTCCACTAGAGCCTCTGTAGTATCCGTTTAGCTGTTGTAAAAGCCAAGTAAATCCATCTCTTCTAAAAATATGACAAGACAGAGTCCTGAAGATCCATGGTTGAACCTAAAAGAGACAGTTTTGCAGAGACATGGAGTATTTTTTTTTCTTCTCAGGACATCAAAGATAACCCGCTGGATGTTTTTCTCCAGTCTTCAAGTGATGGACACGTCCAAAGAATTTGTAAGATAGAAATTCACTTCTCCAGCATGACTCTACAGGTATCAGTTTCCACTTAAATAGATGCTGTGGAGTCTGATGCCACATCAGTTGGCTGTAAAAATGGGATTGTTGTAACAGCACCAGTTTCACCAAGAGGGGATGACCTATGAGTCATAATACATTTTTATTGGATGACCACTAACCTTGTATCTGAAATTTCATAGTGGTGTGCTCAGATTTTACAGCCAAAGCACTGATTTTCAGGTGTGAAATTAATTTCTGGGACCAAGTTTATATTTTGATTGGTACTGATGCTTTCCAAATTAGAATTATGTAACTTGTATTTGATTAGATAGTAGTGTCTTGGGTAAAATGTGAGGTATTTCATCTTTGCTCATTTTAAACCACCATGCTGATACAGCTCGCTAAACGCTAGATGACAGGGGTGGAGATGGTTGTAACACCTTTTATAAAAGTGTTACAACTAACCCCAGTGACAGCTAAACACAATTTATCTATCTACCTATCTTACTCCTTTTTTTTCAGCAGGCCAGCAGAGTTGGTGAGAAACACTAGTAGAGGTGTGATTGCACATGTGTTAAAATCAACATATGATGAGGTGAGGCAGGGTAACACAGAGAGGTCCGTCCCCAAATAGTACTTGCTCTGCCATGTGACACTGAGCAGATACAAGAAATTACAAAACTTCAGAGAAACAGGATCTGGACAGCTGCCCTGTGTGGGGGATCACAGCAGTCAAAATTCAATGCACATCAAAAGGATGTCTTACTGGTTACTGAACTGAGGCAGCAGACTTGTATTTTGGACTCACTCTGTGTGAGGTAATAAGCATCTGACAGGTACAGGTTAGAGAGTTAGACTTTACTGGTTAAGTTTTCACACTGCCCCAGGTTGTATTAAACTTACCCTGATAGTTGGGGAGGTTGTAACAGTTGAACTCCTTGTATTATCAATTAATGAATTCCTTGATATAGTAGGAGAAGTTGGAAACAGTAAATAAGGGTACTTTGTGTCAAAATTTGAGAGCTCTAACACAAAACTTCAGCAAGTTATAGGTGCTGAGACAAAAACCATTCCCAGTCTCCTCTATTTAAGCACAATACTAGTGTAAAAATCAATGAAGACTTTTAAAACAAGTGTCATTGTCCTAATGGGTGCCTATTCCAAACAGGGCTACTCGAATAAATTATTCATTTACTTTTCAAACAGAGGCTAAAAAGTGATTTAGAATACGACCTGAATTAAAAAAGGGACAACCACAAAAGAACAACAAAATACAAGTGACATAAAAGTGAAAAATATGCCCATTTTTAAAAATCATTTGTTATTGCTGTGGTTTAAGTCAAAAAAATTGACTTAATATGCATGGCTCTCCAAAATCTGAAAACTAAAGTGCTAAAACTCAAATTTGTGATTTCATGAAGTATAAAATCTGGAGCTGCTCTGTGGACAATGAATAGGGAAAGATGTTGGATGACAGGTGGCACTAACAGCACTATACCAAGTGTGTCTTGGATATATGACTACATATCTGTTCCAGAACTGACAATATTTCAATAAAATAAAGCTTATGTAGGTGTAAAAACATTTAGTGGACTCCCATTCATATGGAGCAGGTCCAGACTTCATACCCTATGACATCACAAGTCTAGAAAGACTAGCACATGTGAACAAATAGGCTATTGATTAAACTAGGGAAATAACATGCCAAAATTTTTAATTTCCCCCTTCAAAGGGAGTTTAAAACAGCTGGGTAAGACTGCTCAATTAGGAGCTGTACACAAGCAAGACAAAACCAAATGGAGGGCAAGCAAACAAACGGTACTACTGCCAAATGCATTTGCAATATGAGGGGAAAGAGTGCAAATACATAAAGTGCAAATATGAAAAGTCCAAGATAATACATATTTATTATTAGCTCAACAAGTTAACTGAAGCTAGTCAAACACTTTACATGTATACATGTACTGAAGTCCACATTTATCTATCATGTCAAAGTGACATAGCCAGAAGGTCATATTAAAGCACTCAAAAGCAGTTTTTATTTTCATTTTATTTTATTTATTTAAACAGGGACAGTACATATTGATGAACATTAAATGTAAATATGTAGGATTGTAGCCAATGGCTAATTCCACCCTCAGTCCCTTGGTAGGTTGATGTTTAACCAATCAAAAAAAAAAAAAAAAAAAAAACATAACAAAAAAACCTAAAACAAAACAATGACAAATAAACAAATGTATAGCGAACAGTAATACAGACACGATAGACCAAGAATTGGGGGACCAGTTTAAAGTGCAAAATTGCTTGAGCGCTAAATTAAAGTTTCAAGTTGACTAGAATTTCTATACAGTAGACATTAATCTGTTTATTTTTCTACTGGCATTTTAGTAACTACACTTGCCACCATCATCACCACCACTACCGTCTCCTCCTCTTCATCATCATCATAGTCACAATCACCATTTATGTAATGATTTATTATTTGTTGGGATGGTAAAAAGTGCTATAATAAAAATAATATAATAAAATAAAAATGCAAAAACATTGTTGATGGTGACAGCTTCTCAAAAAGATAATGGGGTGCACTTATTTACCATAAATAAACCGATTTCTTCTATGTTTAAGTATTACAATATATCAAGGTAAACTGCATGTATGAACTCAACATTGACGAAAGCAAGTCTAATGGAATCCTGGCTTCTGATTGGTCGCTGCGGAGACTGCCCCCTCGTAATTGCGGAAGTGGAAGTTGTCGAAGTTCACCCTGCTTGTCAGTGTTGCTCTTGTAACCGCTGTGCTGTTAGTGTCCAGAAACAGAGGATAATAACTCACAGGGATGTCTCTGTCTTTCGAGGGAAGAGTTGTGCTTGTCACCGGGGCCGGAGGAGGTAAACTCGCCCTGCAAACATAACTGAACGTTAGCTAGGCTGTCATTGATGCTAACTGTATCAATGATCTTTGTAGCGTTAGCTCTGAATGCTAACCTGCTAATGTAGAGATTTATGAAGTATGTGACCCAAGTTATTAAGGCAGCTACTGCACGAGTCTCTCTTTTCTTTCTGCTGACCAGCTGTTTAACTGGGTGTCTTGCTAAATGCTAATACCGACGACACAGTCGCAAAGTCGTCAAAGTAAACAGTCTCAGACCAAGGTGTCACTAACTGTTACCTATAACACACTTGTTGGTAATAATGCACAACATGCATTGCATTAGTTAGACTAGCAACCGGTATTTGTCAGCCTTTCATGTGAGGAAAACAGGGAGCAAAGTGCATGCAACACAATGGCTAACAATCATACAAGTGTATGCGTGTGAAAGGGCACGCACTTGAACACGACAGCAGTGGTTTATGTATCTATGCTTTGGCATTTTACTCATATTTCTCTTTTCACAGGCCTTGGCAGGGAATATGCACTGGCTTTTGCTGCAAGAGGTGCCTCAGTTGTAGGTAAATAAAGGATCTTCATTTTAAGCCTCTCATTATTTATTAGAACAAGTTTTGTGGATGTACTGTACTCTATGATCTTTTTGGTATTTCTTCGCCTTGTAGAAAAAATCGTCAGTGTGTATGTAGACATCTGGCTTTATTATTATTATTCCAGATGTTTTCCCTTTTCACATATCCTTCTTTATTCATTCAACTTTAATGTAACCAGAAACCTCTAGAGATTAAAAATCTCTTTTTTATAGTGTTGTGACGTTCACGAACGAACCGATTCTATTGAACGGCTCGTTAACATGAACGATGGGAACCGAGTCGCAGCTGGGAAACGTTCTTTTTTTTTTTTTTAATATCACTGTGTGCTCCTCCTTTGCTCCTCCCCTGAGCAAAATTCATTGTAGCCTGCTTTGTTTTTTAATGTTTATTTGTAAGTGTTAAGGTCACGGTGTTGCATGAATAACAAGTCATGGTAGCTTTACTCACATACAAACAGTTTGTATAAAGGGTAAATCCAAAATAGTGATGTCACTGTCAAAGCAGAGTGATATGGCGCAACCTTGTGGAATATTTACAATGAATCCAGATCAGATTTTAAAATCTAGTCCACACATGTCAAATGAGGTTATAATCAATATTTCAGAATAATTCAAACTCAGATATTGGTGGGATATCTAATTTTGTATTATTTTGTTCCAAATCTTACCCCATCATACCTCCCAGTGATTATTTCCAAGATAAAATGAGTTACCACCAGGCTGGCTTCTTAAAACTTAATAAATATAAAAATCAGTCAAATGAGCCAGTTTTTTGAACGGCTCTTTGAAAGGAACGGCTCACCAAGATCCGGCTCCCCTCAAAGAGCTATAAATCCCATCTCTACTTTTTTAGGAGTGTCCTGGCCAAGACAGGCAGCAACATAAAGTTACAGACAGACAACCGTAAACAAAAATACAAAATAAAAAATGTGCAACTCCAAAACGAGCAGTAAAAAACACAAAATAAGATGTAATAAGCATGTTAATCAGTGAATTAAAAAACGACAAATAGTTAAAAAGACCAACTTAAACACACCCTGACACTGGCATATAGATGATTGCATACATAATTCTTGCAACAGTGCTTTGAAATGTCCAGGAGGAACCTATGAGTGCAACTTTAAATCCTTCTGCAGAAGATTCCACATATAAGGAGCTGCATACATAAATACTTGTTTGCTAGACTCCATACATACCCTCGGTACAGACAATAAGATGTGTTCTGAGAATGTAGATCATTGCCGTTTTCAATTTTTTGCTTAATCTACACACAAAAATATACATGAGGTAGGTCGAGAATAACTTTATAAACAAGAGAATGCCAATGAAAAAGTCTATGAAAATGTAAGGAGAGCCAGCCAACCCGAACATACAGGATACTGCAATGAGTTAGTGGCTTACAGTTGGCAATGAATCTCAGTGCACCATGATATACAAAGTCCAGAGCATGCAAACACTGGGAGGGTGCACTCATATATAATACATCCCCATAATCAAGCACAGTCAAGAAAGTAGCAGAGACCAGCCATTTTTTGGCCAAGAAAGAGAAGCAGTTCCTGTTTCTAAAATAAAAACCCAGTTTCAGTGCAAGCCTTTTTACAAGTAGTTCAGCATGTGTCTTAAAAAAAAAGACAATCAACTAACACAGTGCCCAGGTATTTGAAACACTCTCTGTGCTCTTTCTCTGAAGAGTAGCAGTAGCTGGGATATTTGAAAGCTTCACCCTGGCTTTTGTGAAAAACGTGCACTTTGTTTTATCAGCATTCAGGATGAGCTTCAGATTGAACAGTAATTGTTAAAGCTAGTTAAAGAGCTTGTTGCTGACTACATGTACACCAAAGCAACAGTAGTGATCTTAAAGGGATGGTTTGGATCTTTTGAAGTGGGATTGTATGAGGTACTTATCCATGGTCAATACATGCATGTTGTTTGGCACGCCCACAGGTTTGTGAAACAAGAAGGAGTAGCAGGCAAAATGTACTTTGGCCACCTAAAAAAATCAGTAACAGTTTACTTTGTTGAGAATATTTTCACCGCTTTAACTGGCTGCAGACAGCCCTGTCTGAATGGCTTCAGATCCCCATCTATGTGCTTGTCAAAGCCTCCAGACTCCATTGGCAAAAAAAGTATTTTTAGCTCGCTGAACATGGGAGCTGCTGGTCTACCACTGCCTTGATCAGTTTGTTTCTATTTTTGTGTGACTTTGAGGAATCCAAACTGACCCCTTCAAATGTCAAAGCCACATGATACAGCAGTAGACCAGCAGCTCCTATGTTCAGCAATGTTATATCACTGTTTTCCTCAATGGAGTCTTGCTCTGAAGAGAGTGATGTAACAGCTTCCTATTGGAAGTCTCTGTCTGACGGTAAGGTTAAGTGGTGGAAATATTCAAAATAAAGTTTAAATTTAAACTAATACTGATTTCTTAAACATGTTTAAATAAATGTGCTGTAGGAAATAAGTACTTTCCCCATAGTGTATGTGAAATGGAGACAGCATGAGTAAAAACCTGCATGCCTCAGTGCCAGAGATGACTGTGGGTGTAGAAGTGTCCTGGTTTTGATTTCAGTAGTGATTCACCAACCTGATACACCAGACTGGTGTTAGCAGAGATAATGATCTTAAGTGGTTTTGGTATCAGCCTTGACATGACCGATCCGCAGTAATAAGGTCATCAATGCAAGTTCCATGTGAAAGTAAATGCAAAGTCATGATGACAACACAATGTGTCCGCTACTAGTTACCATTTTTTACTCAGACCTCAGCTACCCTGAGTTGAAATTATATTTGGGAGAGCAAGAATTGAATCGATGCATCCTCCAATTATCAATTAAACCTCAAACTGAGTCCTGTCATAGAGGAAGATGTATTTCACCGACTGTCACACTAACAACTTACTTTTTAGGTTAGGGCGTCACTTTTTTATACAGTTGCAGATGTTGGCATAAACATTTGCCCCAAAATAATAGCTTCCCCCATAGCCTGGATGGAACATGCCCTTGAACTCTGACAAGGAATCAGCTTAGCTATACTCTTCTCCTAACCTAATCATTTGTGGAGAATTGCCAAACTCACCCCATTATTGCTAATCTTTCTCTTGTTGCAATAAAGTGAATGACCTTGGGACAGACACTAAAGGGGGTGGAAAGAGTTCTGCAGCTGCTGATAAGGTGGTGGAGGAGATAAGAGCGAAGGGAGGCAAGGCCGTGGCAAACTATGGTGAGAAGTTTAGACTTTTGTCTTAAGTCTCTCTCCTTTCTTCTCTTCATCATTTCATCTTTTTTTGTCTTTTGCTTACCTTGTAGTGTTTAACTTATGTAATGCTAGACTCAAAAACAACATTGATTTCTGTCAGTCCGACTAGCGCACTGATGAAGCTGTTGGCGAGCTAGTATTGAAGACAAATGGTTCCCCCCTCCATCTTTGTCCACCTCACTTATATAAGAAAAAAAACCAACTAGTTTTAAAGAACAAAACAACAGCACTTTGATTAATGTATGTGTTTCATAGGCTGTTCTGAGCATGGTAGATTTGTTTGTGAATATAATACTAAGGTTGTCATATGTTTTATTAATGTTATAACAAGCTTTGATGCCCAACAATCAATTACAATGTTCCTTTGAAAAGGTGACTCATCATGCATCATTACACAACATACTGAGCATGTGAGGGAGGCCACTTACTTTCTCTAGTACATGATAAAACTAGATCATAAGCACCTCTCCCTGTCAGTTATATTATTGTGACACTAACACATAGTTTATATCTATAAATCTAAATGCAACCAGCAGCAATGTAGCAAGAATCAGACCTTTAACTGAAGCTAGAATATGAAGAACAATGCATAGATGCAGTCTTTTGGAAACTCAGATATGCAGAACAGTGTAAGAATCATCATTTATCAAATGCAAAGATGTAAAAAATAATCCATGCCCTTTTCTGCACACACAGATTCTGTTGAAGATGGAGAAAAATTGATCCAATCAGCCCTGGATGCATTTGGAAGAATAGGTGAGTTATGTCTTCACAGTATAATGATACTTAATCCAAGTATTGCACCATTAATTATCTCAATTAAATGATTTTTGATGATGTAATTACTGCTATTTAAACCTATTATTTAACTGAATCTGTACCTTTCTTACAGATGTTGTGGTAAACAATGCTGGGTGAGTCATTTCACAATCTGTGAGGTCTAATCACATCATCCATTTTTAGAGTGGCTGCTTGATTGTAGTTAGAATATTAAGATGTGTATTAGCCACTATAATCAACCTTAAAGAGACAGATCACCTCAAAATTAAAAACACATTACTCCTCTTACCTGTAGAGCTATTTATCGATCTGGAGTGTTTTGCTGTGAGTTGCAGAGTGTTGGAGAGTTCTGCCTTCTCTTGAATTAATAGAAATAGATGGCACTTGGCTTGTGGTGCTCAAAGCGTTCAAAAAATACATCTGAGAAACTCAACAGCAATGTCTCTTTCCAGAAATCATGACCTAGTTACTCAAGATAATCCACAGACATTGTTGTGAGCAGTTTCATGTAGGAACTGTTTTCTTTCTACCGAACTACAACTACCAACTGAATCACTGCACAGAGGGAGGCGTGTATCTACTGCTCACCTAGCATCACTGACCTATCTAACGTTACAGCTCAGCCGAAGAGGACACCATTAATGTTTACATCTCATGCTGCCACAAAGGCAAGCTGCTCATCCATGAGTAGCATGCCTCCTTCTGTGCGGTAATATGGTTGGTGGGTGCAGAAAATAAATATAATTCCTACATGAGACTGCTCACAACAAAGTCTGTGGATTATCTTGAGTAACCAGGTCATGATTTATGGGAAGAGACATTGCTGCTGAGTTTTTCAAATGTATTTTTTTTGACACTTTGAGCACCACAAGCTGAGTGCCATCTAGTTCCATTATATTAGACAGAAAGCAGACATCTCTCCTGCTGATATCTCCCACACTCTGCAACTTGCACCAAAACAATCTAAACTTATAAATAGCACTACAGATAAGAGGAAACATATGTATTTTTGATTGTGGGGAGGAAAGTTCCTTTTAGGTTTTGTCACAAAGACTGAAAAGACTAAAACTCAGTCCTGCTTTTCTTTTTTAAGGATCCTCCGTGACCGATCATTTGCCAGGACCAGTGATTTAGACTGGGGTAAGTACTTAATTTCTAATCTTTACATTCTCTTCACTCTCATTAACTCATACTGTGTAAGGGATCACATTTTTTTACATTTGTTTAGCTCACTGTGCCATCATGCTATAAGTAGAAGATTACATTTGTTTGAACTTGTGTGTGTTGTCTATGTACCTTATGTCCATAAGAACAGATTGTCTGTGTGGGAGTTTAAATCAAATCAAAGTTAAAATAACTTTATATATGTGTTAGGAACTTCATTTGTGTAAAAACGTCAGTGCATACACAACACGTACGACAACATCATTTTAAAACACACAGGGTAGGGTGCAGCTTTAAGATGCCCCCCCCCCCCTAAAAAAAATGCTTAAAAATATCCATAAATAAGTAATAAATATGGATCAAGCACCCAAGCTAGCTCAAGCATTAATGAGTCTGATAGAAGTAGGCAGAAAGCTTGACATGGCCCACTTGGCCTTGAGTGGGAGTGACCTGTATCTGCAGCCTGAGGGTAAGTGATGTATTGGTTGTGTAGTGTGTATTTGTGTGTGTGTGTGGTATGTGAGGCTGTTTGTAGTTCTCACATTTTAGTCAGTCTGCTGTGGATGCTACTCAGAGGTTGTTGATCCAGTCCAATGATTGTGCTGCTCATTCTAATGATTTTGTTGAGAGGGCTGGGGCGGATTTTGCTCAAAGCACCAAACCAGGCTGTTAGGTTGAAGGTGATGATGGATGTAATGGAACACTTGTAGAAAGCCAGTAAGACTGATTGGTGCACCAGAAGTTTATAGAGTTTCCTCAGAAAGAAGAGGCGTTGTTGTTGACATTTGGAGAAGACGATTTGGTTTGAAAGTGAGTTTGTGGTCAGCTGTGGTTCAGAGGTATTTGTATGCCTCCACTCTCTCTATGTTCTGGCTATTTACCTGAGGGATGGTGTGCTGTTCATGACAGAAATCAATGACCAGCTCCTTGGTGCTGGAGGTGTTGAGGTCAAAGTAATTCCCCTTATACTGCTCTGAGGACGTGTTCATCTCAGCCTGGAGCTGCCCCTCACAGTTAATGGTGTCCACAATGGCTCTGTCTGAGAATTTGATGTAGATTATTTCTGGATCTGAGCCTCTGCAGTTATCAGTGCACAGGGTGAAGAGCACAGGTGAAATTACAGAGTCCTGTGGGGCTCCGGTGGAGATGGAGATGGTTTGAGCAGAGCTGAACTGTCTATTAATTCTGACCACTGACATCTCCCTGTCACAAATGAAAGGACCTAATATCCACATGCTTTGGACATGCCTCTCCCTGTATAACCTTTGGTTGGAAATATTCAGTACAGTCTCACAAGGTATCTCTGTGTCTGTCAACCCATCCCCAATCACTGCCCTATTTGGAGTCAGCTTAACGCCTACAACATCAAATTATGTGAAGAACTTTACAGCTTTTGTAGAGCTCTTAGCTAGAGGCTTGGTTCGTGTCAAATGGAAATCGCCCGCTCAACCAGTGGTGGATGAAGTACCGGAAAGCTACACTTGAGTAAAAGTACGGACAACTGAACAGAAAATTACTTTGGTAGAAGTTTAAGCCACCTAATAGAATATTGCTTTAGTAAAAGTCTTAAATTATCTAATACTTACTGTACTGAAGTGTCAAATTCAATTTTCTGATATTAATTAAAAGTAAAAGTTGAAGTAAATGCTGATAATAAAAAAAGCAAGCAGTCAGACTTTTGGCGAATTATGAAGGTTATTTCTTCTTGAGATGTGCTTCCTCTTCTCCTGAATTACACTTGAAGAACTAAGAGGTTTTTTTTCACAACTTAATGGTTTAAAGAATAAAATCCAGGTTTTTCCATTTTCCCCATTCCTTCATTGGTACATGGTTAAGGTTATTATTAAAATTATTATTATTTTATGTAATTGTGTTCACCCAATGATAACGCCATTGTAATAATCACAAGCACACGGAAAGTAACATGCTGATCAATTAGGGATGAGCATGATTAGTCGGCTAGTCGATTACATGTTTCTAGCCTCAATAGTTGGTGCCAGAGAAACTTATTATTAAAATTATTATCATTTTATGCTGTACCGTCCACCCAGTGATAACGCTGTTGTAATAATCATGCCGTTTCCTCAAGATTTATGTTCCTAAAGTGTATTTTTTTCAGTAGATGTTATTTGTTAACTTTTATTTAGTGGATTGTTGTCATGTTTTGTAGGATGATGCGCAATGTTGATATTGCACGGTGCAAAGTGCCACACATTTCTGCAGTATAAAGTTACTGAAAAATGTGATTAATAATGTCAAATAGCTCTTATATGTAATATTTTTTCAGACAGTGTTTAACCTTGTAGATTAAATTGTGCTCAGTTTTGACTGTCTGCTGAGTGTTTCCTTACTTTGAGAGTAGTCGCATAGTTTAAGTTTAAACTTCTGTTTCAGTGTCAGGGAAATTAGCCACAAGGATCATCCCTAATTTACAGTGTTTGTACCTGATCCATAGAAATGATTTACTTTGTGTTTTATTGTTGCATATTCCTTATACGTGCAGTTGTATGTATATACAGTACACATGTTTATTGTTACAGTTTCCATGCAACTTGGTGTACTACTGTTATCTGTTGTTTCTCTGAAAAAAACTAATAAATAAAGCTAAGGGAAAAAAAGAAAGGACCCGCAGGATCAAATGTGGATTTACATCCAAAAAAATATTGACTTTAAGCTGGATTTGATCCACGGTGCTCTCATGTGAAATAACACAAGTGTTTTATGTGTATTCGTGTTTAGTGGGTCACCCCTCTTGTTCTCCTTTTCAGACCTGATTCAGAGGATTCACTTGAGAGGCTCCTTCTTGGTGACTCGAGCTGCCTGGAACCACATGAAAAACCAAAAGTTTGGCAGGTAAGGAGCTCGGCTTCTGACAGCTATTGACGGGGATAAAGGCTGTGCCATGCCTTTATTACGTGGGCAGGGTTTTCTTTTAGATCCAGCTAAAGTTACAGTATCCTCAGCAGACAGACCATGGCTGGACTGTAATCAAAAGGATGTCAGCATGGCACGAAATGCTCTTTGGTGAGACCCGATTCAGACATCAGCAAAAATGGTTTTTATATGCCCCATTTTAAGTGGGCTCTTGAGGATGTGCACTTGAGGTAATGAGTAATATAAAGCATGTCTACCATCACATTATTATACATATTCTAACTCTGACTTTAGTCACTTGGTACCCCTTAATATGTCTAGCTCCATTGGTTTCATGGTGTGCAGTGAAAAATCTGCATACTAATAAAAGCCCAAGACAGCAAATTTGATATGAATATGTAAATCACCAAAGAATGAAGGAAATTACTTAATTTGGCTGTGCAGCACTGCAGGTTAATCTCTGAACAATTTGAGCTCTGTTTAAATCGATGACTCCACAAGAAGCAGCAGAGATGTCTGTGCAGGCTCATCTTTTTCTCCCAAGTAGTGCAGCATAAAAAATTCAAATGTCCACCAGTGTGAAGTTGTAGAGTTGAAGGTGTTTTGCCACTCACCAATGATTCTTCACCTCTGGAGAAGCCTCTTCAATAAGAAGCAAACATCCACTGAATAATTTATACTGAGGCAGTGAGAATGTATGCAGATATGTGTTGGTCACGTTTTGAGGCAGCTTACAGAAAATGGTGAGGATGACCCCAAAATCAAAAATACCTATTTTTCCTTTTACCTGTAGTGCTGTTTATTAATCTAGATTTTTTTTAATGTAAGTAATGTAAGTGTTGGTGATATTAGCCATAGAGATGTCTGCCTTTCTGAATATAGTGGAACTAGATGGCACTCGGCTTCTGGTGCTCAACCCCTCCAATTTCTCTTTCCAGAAATCATGACCCGAATACTCAAGATAATCCACAGATCTTGTTGTGAGCAGTTTCATGTAGGAACTTTCTTCTCTTTAGCTAACTACACCCGCCAAATGTATTGCTGTGCAGAAGCGTGCATGTACTCATGGGTGAGAGGCTCATGTTGTGACCTTGGCCGAGCTGTAATTTTAACCCCTAACCCGCTGTGAGATTATGGAAAACATCATAATCACGATTATTTTGGTCAAAATTGAAATCATGATTATGCAAACAATTATGCAGCGCACGTGATGACTTATATTGTTTACACGACAGCATGTCATTTCTGTCTCTACATGGTCGCACGTTTACAATTCTCCTTTGCTCTGTATCGTGCATGGCGGAGTTCGGCCCCGATGCGCACACACACACACACACACACACACACACACACACACACACACACAGACCAACCTCTCTCGCTCTCCCTCTGCCATTTTCCACACGCTGTTTTTGAAATCTTACGCGATCACCTGCCCCTCGCATCATTCGTAGTTCACCTACTTGACTGGCTTGTGGAGTGAGAGGAGGGGAGGGGGCGGTATTGCACATGCGCGGCTTCCGTAGAAGACAAAATAACATTTCCAGGTGTCTGTGACCAAAAATCGTTTACCCTCGATTTCAGTAAATTTGAAATCGTTTGACCTCAAAATCGTAATCGCAATCACCAGACGATTAATTGCACAGCCCTAGTGCTAGGTGAGCTAGCAGTAGATTCCCACTTCCTTCTGTGCAGTGATCAGAGTCCTGTCTGACTTTCAGCACCTGTTCCCAAACTGGACCCGCAACATGCAATACCACACCTGCCCTTCTACCCGCACATATGACCAATAAGTTATGCAACGCGTCCTGGCCCCAAAACTGCAAATCCTATAATAACCATGTGGTGTTCAAATAACTTGGTTAGGCACCATGGTTATAGCGATCATTTTGGGACATTTCATACATGTGAAACTAATTAATATGTTTTAAAAAGAAGGTCATTAAGAAAATACAATTGAAAGCAATATTTTTTGCTTATACTCAAAATTTTGAGCAGCACATGTCAACAGTTACCGTGCCTGTTAGTAACGCACCTGACACACAAAGTCAGTCAGAGGATTCATTCAATCATTCATTTTCTGTAACCGTTTATCATGTTAGGGGTTGCGGAGGGGCTGGAGCCTATCCCAGCTGACAGTGGGCGAGAGGTGGGGTACACCCTGGACAGGTCACCAGACTATCACAGGGCTGATACATAGAGACAGACAACCATTTACACTCACATTCACACCTACGGCCAATTTAGAGTCACCAATTAACCTGCATGTCTTTGGACTGTGGGAGGAAGCAGGTGTACCTGGAGAAAACCCACACTGACATGGGGAGAACATGCAAACCCCGCACAGAAGGGCTCCCCCACACCTGAGTTCAAACTGGGAACCCTCTTGCTGTGAGGTGGCAATGCTAACTTCTCCACCACCGTGCCACCAGTCAGAGGATTAAAACATTAAACTTTCAATTAAACTCTAAACATGACTTGACTTAATTATTCTCATTTTATTTTAATATAGTTATCATCCAACCCCCGCGGTCCAACCCACATGTTCTTTTTTTCCCACCCAGAACTGAACCTGGAAATAAAATTAAGACACAATACCACCGGCAAAAATTACCCTCTCTGTGCTGGTAGGTTGGTGGGTGTAGTTCGGTAGTGAGAAAATAATTTCTACATGAAACTGCTCACAACAAGGTCTGTGGATTGTCTTGAGTAACCAGGTCATGATTTCTGGAAAGAGACATTGCTTTTGAGTTATTCATTTAATATTATTAATTATTTGAGAGAAGGTAGACATCTCTACGGACGATATCTCCAACACCCAGCAACTCCAAAACAATCAGTAATAAACAGTTATGCTTTTCCTGCTATGAAAAATAAAATGTGTGCTCATTCTTGCTAAGTGCAACCTCAATACAAACCTCAAAAGCTCTTTTCAGAGCCGCTTGCATGTTTTGAATTTTAATTTGCAGAAGAAGGTCACACAGCCAGTTTTGCTCCCATGTTACTCCAGGTAACAGATGCCCTCCACGTGTGCGCATGTGGTCTACATGAATGGGAGAAGAAAGTAGTCCAAAAACACTGAGGTGACATTTTGCAGAAAGTTTCACTGCATTTAGCCAAAGAGCAGCTTTTTATTATGTAGAGTAGAAAACAGTTGCAGATAAGACAGAGGAAAAAAAAATTCTAATCATGATCATCTGAAAATCACGTGTAGTTTTTTTAGTGTCCTGTGGGTTTGAAATTCAATCTCTGTGTGCATTCAACCTGAGCTAAAGTTAATTGTGTATTTAAAGGTAAGACCATAACAGAAAGAAATAAAAAGTAGGAAGGTTCATAACATGACTGTCAGAGAGAATGGGCACAGAAGCCAACGCTGTGAGTAAAATGTTAAAGCATGGAGCAACACACAGAATTTTACTCTGTATTATTAGGTCCATAATGCACAAAAGAAAGTTTGTGTGTTTGCTGTTGCTCTTCTACAGGGCAACTTTTTATCGTCTGAAAGCTTCCCTCAGTAATTGAATCATAGGCTTTAGCATATAAAAGTTATTGATTTGCGTAATATGATATCATTGCCAATCCTCTGGTGGATCCACTGTAGTATACAGTATGAGTATGCTGTGATATGGATCACTGCTTTCTGATGACCAGTGAGACAGCGTGTTTCAGATGTCTCCCACACCTAATGTGGCATTGGTGCTTAACCTCATTATATTTTCTTGACTGAAGTGAACTCTCTGCGTGAGATGACTATCAAAATTGTATGTGCAAGACTGTGAGCCTGCTGTGCATACATGCATTCACTCCTGTATGCAGCCTGTGCTCACCATGAAATGTTAAAGTAAATGTGCAGTTCTGTATCTGCAGTAAAGCAGCTGAATGTTATGTGTGTGTGAATGGGCCAGCATTACATGACTAGATGCCTACATGTGCGTACTCCTGTGTGATTATGCATGCATGAAGAGTACGTGTCACTTTGTGTAATTATGTGTGTGTGTGGGCCGTCTGTGTTTCCCATTACTGCATCGCTATGCCTGTGACTGACTTGTTGCCTCCGGTTGTCTGTGGCCAGAATTATCATGACGGCTTCAGCCGCCGGCATCTATGGTAACTTCGGCCAGGCGAACTACAGCGCTGCCAAGCTGGGCATGCTGGGGCTGTCAAACACGTTGGCCATCGAGGGAAGCAAGTACAATGTCCACTGCAACACTATTGCTCCTCTCGCTGGGTCACGTCTCACAGAGAATATCATGACCCCGGGTAAGTAGAGAGATTAAACAAATACATAAATGCATGCAGTTGGTCAGTATAATGCGTACTATAATGTTCTGCCAGGTCCACACTCTCTCACATGTACATGTGTCTTTGGACAGGTCAAAATAGCCAAATGGATTTTAACCATAGTTCTTTTCTTTTTTTTTTAGAACAGCTGCATAATGTAAGGCCCATGTTACGTTGATTTACAAAATTTGAGGCAACAGCAGTCCCGTTTGACATGCAAATTTGTCATCTAATATTCAAGAACTGTGGTTTTTCACTGCACCAACAGCCATGATGAAATCATGCACCCTGTAAGTGCTTTAAAAGTTTTAAAGTGTGAGCCCTTGATTAAAACAGGCAGCCCTGGCCTCCTTATTTTACTGCAGGTGCTAGCTGTGCCTCCAAATACTGACAAAAGTATGAGTAAGAAAGCTAATGAAACATGTATATTTTTCATGTTTAAAATATTTCTCATGACAGAAGGTAACGCAGCATCGGATAGTCGCAGTGAACACAATGAAATATAGCTCAAAACAGCTTGTAAACGTTGGAGACTTTATGTTGCCTTTGAACATTATATCAAACAAAAGACTAAAATACAACCTTCAAAATGAAAACAGGCTGTGTTTCAAAAGGATCTCACGAGCCCATAAAGATAGGAAATGTTTTTCTAACCCACCAAACCCACTGTGTGTCTACACATCATGAGCATATTGTGCATGCTCTGCGACTCCAGCTCTGTTGACAGGGGTATTAAGTGACAAATTAGAGGAATGGCTTTGCTGCCCTGCTGTGCTGGTCTACAGTAGCATCTGTCACACTGCGCCGTGCCAACTGTCACAGGATGGCCTCACCTTAGTAAATGACTCGGTTCCATATGTTGGCTTTCACTGACTCAGGCTTTTCTCAAACACAAACAACAAAACTAATCTTGCTAAACATTGCAGAGTGCAGCGAAACAGAATGCCCGGTCTTTTACCACCGTGTTTTATTGATTGAGGCTGCGGATATTTTCAGCACACATATGGTGTCTGGCATTAAATCTTTACCAGTTCATACAGGGAATTAAAAGCCTGTGCCATATTTATTTGCTTGACACCATGCCAACATGTTTAGGAATCTTTTTCATTACTTTTTAGAGATCACTTTTAAATTGATTTTGACTTGGACCTACTGTGTGTTCTCATGCATTCAGAAGTTGTCTTTAATGCTCCAGTATCAGTGCATGTTCTTTTGCTATTTGTCCAGCAGAAGATTAGATTATTTAAGAATACAGATTAGCATTGTAGCAAACAATCCCAGCTGTGTAGTGAGGAGACAGTGATATAACAAATACACAGGGTTCCTGGTAGAGTCATGGAATTTTACAATCTCATTTTCCAGGCCTGGGAAGGTCATGGAATCAGAGAACTTCTTACAGGTTTTGGAAAAATAATGGAATTTGGTTGTATGTATTAAAATGAATTGTTGCAGTAATCTTCCACTGGATAACAATCCATGTAATGCTAACATAATGGCAAATTTGTTTTTTTAGGTTAGCCGACGTAACATGGTGATAATATGCACCGATGTGGAACACCGTTTATTTGACCATCATGTAGATTTCTTCAATTTCCTCCTTGCGTTCTGTCTCTCCCTCCATGTATGCCAGCTGGCTTGGATAGAGTTTGAATGTGATATGTTTGCATAAGAGAATAATAATGTTATTACAGTGTGATTTAACATGTAGAGTGGTGTAAATTGTACTGCATTTTTGAGATTTGATAATTTGTCCATGAAAATGTGTGGGGACGCTGGATATATTACCTTGCTTTTGATAAATTAAAAGAACAGTGATTTTGGTGAATTTAGGGGCATCTGTCGATGAGGCTTGCAGATTGCAACCAGCTGAAACTTCTCCCGGTTAGAATTCCTTCAGTGTTAATTATTCAGGAGATTTTACACGAGAGCCAAATTGTCGTCAGAGGTCTCTTCCTCTCCTAAACAATCGGACCAGGTGATTAAAACCTGTAAAAACACTGAATAAAGCAGTTTCACCTTACAAATCAAATCAGCATGTTTCTCCTACGCTGTTTTGCACTTCGCAGACGGCCCGCTTGCTCAGCACCTGCAAATGTGTGCTCACCTTTTTCTGATCCAGACATTCAGGAGGTTCTTACTTAGAGCCAAATTATCCGCAGAGGTCTCTTCCTCTCCAAAACAAACTAATTTGGGGATTTAAAGCAGTATAAATGCTGAACAAAGCAGTTTCACTTTAAAATAATTGTTTTTCCGTTGCTCTTTTTGTGGAGTATCTGCTAAGCCCTGTCTAGAGCCAGTGTTTGGTTTGTCCAATCTGGGCTATTGTAGAAACATGGCAGCACAGCATAGCGATCTCCGTAGACGAGGACCTGCTACCTATATAGATATAAACAGCTTGTTTTAAGGTAACGAAAACACAATAATTCTTATTTTCAGGTGATTATACACTAAAGAAAACATACTTATTATATTATATTCCATTTCTGTCAATATATCCCCCTAAATCCTACACACTGGACCTTTTAAGAACATGATTTCAGAGGATGTTTATTCATCATACTCCTATATTGTACTTGAGTTAGATATATATACAAAAATAAGGGTATTTTCTGCTCCTTTTCTACCATTTTGTTTTCCTGTAATTCCTTTTTAAAATGGTTAAACAGCAGTTTGTAATTGATGCTAGCTCTGTAGAAAGAGGACAAATGCTTTAGGCTTGTCTAATAACTCAGACCATGTATTTGTGGTATTTGCAAAATGAGCACATTAAGCAAACACAGCATCATTTTAACAAAACGCCAACTGCCAAACAGAGACACTGACGCAGAGGCACCCCTCTGCAGTATAGGACAATTGTGTAACAGACATGCAATAAAAGAAGAAGCTCTGCTGTACTGTATTTGTGTATGTCTTGTTTTATTTAGACCTTGTGGCATCTCTGAAGTCTGAGTATGTTGCTCCCCTGGTCCTCTGGCTCTGTCATGAACAATGCCAAGAAAATGGAGGACTGTTTGAGGTATTAAAAAAAAAAAGAAAAACTCACTTTGTTTCTTCCTCTTAAGATCTCTCTCACTGTACTGCCTGTAGCTTTGTGTCTATTTTTTTCTGCACAGTAATATACCACTGACATATTCAGCTTCTGTAAAGAGACAATATTTTTTTCTTATTTGTGCGTTTGCTCATCTTCTCATGTTTCATCTGCTTTCAGCTCGGCGGAGGCTGGATCGGTAAATGTGAGTACTGTGTGTGTGTTTTTCCCGAGGAAACGTCTGTATGCATCTATGATATTCATTAGCCCCTGGTTCACTACAGCTGTATGTGTGTGATCTTCACGATGCAGCGACCTCTTTATTTGTGTGTGTCCATTTGTGCAGTGCGCTGGGAGCGTTCTCAGGGCTGCACTGTAAGAAAGAAGAACCAACCCATGACTCCTGAGGCTGTCAGGGACCAGTGGGACAAAATCTGTGATTTTACAAATGCCATCAAGCCTACCAGCCTACAAGGTCAGTAATGCATTGGGCTGAATGCATGCTCACATACACAATAGCCTACAAAAACATGTACTGGAGCATGTGTATACAGAGAGTACACACTGTACATACTTACATAAGCACCTTACAGTAGATTCTCATGTGGTTTATGTCTTTACAAGAATGTAAACCACAGAATTCCCTTTTGTCTTGAATGGTCATTTATTCATTGTGAGCATAATCATATCTCTCACAACCAATAAACAAACAACTCCTGCTCGGAGTTGAGGCGTTACTAAAGCCGTTTTCACAAAGATTTTTATTTGAATACAAATCTGAGTTGGATCGTGCCCTCCATCATAACCCTGCTGGTCTGCTTTCACACTTGTTTGACTCATTCTGTGTTGAGTCAGAGTGATTTAGATTGCACATCGCTGCATAGCTGCACTGAATCTAATCAAAGCCATCAGATACTTAACAATGAAATAACCATGCTCATTGTGCAGTTTGCTCTTGTCTCTGGCTCTGTGTTTTAGCAGTGGGGCAGATCCCTAGCCTCTCGAAAGTACTTCTCCACTTTAGAGTGCTACTTCAACAACAAACAAACTGTTTACAAGGCAGTTCAATTATTTTCGGTCAGCGACATGAAATGATAGTTAAACTAGGCCTGTAACTGTAATTAGATTAGGCAAAAATGATTGAGGTCATGTCTGTATATGATAGGATAATGCCTGTTGTGTTTACATTAGAATGTCATCAACATTTAATCTAATTCAATTTTATTCATTAAGCCCAATATTACAAATCACAATTTGTCTCAGAGGGTTTTAGAGCATACGACATCCCTCTGTCCTTGGACCCTTACAGCATTTACATGAGAATGTCACCAACATGTAGGCCAACATGATGCCACGACAAACATCAGGGTTTTCCGCACTATTGTAAGACTTGTACGCAACGCCTAAGCATTTTTTTCTCAGCACCTAAGCTCAATGAGCAGAATAAAACTATGCTGAGTGACGCGTTTTGCTGTCATTTCTGGTTGTACTGCTTCTGTCCTCGTCTGCTGTCTGTGTCACACACACACAACAATAGTGAACCAGGTGAAGTGACGATAACGTTGAGGCTATTAGGTGATTTTCCCGACTGACACTGACCAGACAGTGTTTGAAAGAATAAGGTCCTAAAGGTCCTGCCATTGAGAAACTGGATTGGCAGTTAATTATCTGTGAGGGGATGACTCACTGTACCAAATATTTAATATTTATTCAAGTGCATTATTTCAACAGAGCACCAGAGTCCATTTTATTCATTGATCAGATGTGTGCTTTTATTTTATTTGTTTAATTTATTTAGGATATCTATGAATCTCTAAATATACTGAACAGTTATAAGTTCATTGCACTTTGAAAGGGAGTGCTCGCATTATTATGCTGTTATATTATCATATCAGTGGCATAAAATGGTCTTAAAAACAATAATATTGTTTATTGCAGTTATTTCTGGAACAATATATCATCCAACAAAAGTAGTTATTGTGGCAGGCCTACGTCAATGGAATGGAAGATTTTGATCTTTATTATGGGGCTATTGACAGCTGATTCAGTGTGACAGTGTGTCACATTAGTATATTGTTATTTCTTTATCAACACTTCATTTTTATTGGTTTTACAAAATGTCATTAAAAGGAAAACACAGAAATAAGTATACAAATAAATAAAAAGGTCTGCAAAGCTATTCATCCCTGTGACATAGTCAGTTACCGAGTCTCTCATCTTGTCGTTCGTTGACAAATAAACACTGTCCGTTTCTCCCATTTCTTTCAACATCACTCCTCTTGAGTCCATATCCTGTGGGTTAACAGTTCCATATCATATATTTCATTCACAATTTTCAGCCACTCGTCTTGTGTTGGTGGTTCTGCCTTATACCATCTCTTTGTGATGGCCTTTTTACAGGCTGCTAACAACATTTTCAGTATGTATCTGTCTTCTCTTAACACGATTCATCCTGCCTTATTGCCTAAGCACATTTCCATGCATGATCCAAAATTTTAATGGTAACTGTATGAATGTTTACCCAAATTGCACAATTTCAGGACAGAGCAAAAATACATGAGTATGATCCACATTTATTGCCCTGCATCTTGCTATAGACAGGTATTTGCCCTTAATCTGTGGCGTAATAAAGAATTTAATTATATTCTTCCAACAGTGCTCTCTCCAAGTACGAGAGGATATTGTAGACTGTTGTGTTCTCCAAATATGCGCCCATTCATCTTCTGTAATATTCACACCCATTGGTAGATTTTTATAAGATGAGGTTGGTAATTGTTAGTGTTTATATTCAGTTGGGACACAATTAAAGGTGAAATTAGCCTGTAAGGAGTGGAATAGAAGGTACAATCAGAATGCCACCTTTGGAGAACTCAAATATGTTTCAGCAAAGACTTGAAGAATGAGGAAAAAAGCACATGGTCAGTGTTGTAGTCTTTCAGTCACACTGTATGACTGAGCTTTTGTGAGAGTGAACCTTATGAAGGATCATAAACCCGCTTTTCAGCCAAGAGAGCCCTTTTAACTATCAGCTCATCTGTATTTAGTGAGAGTTTGGTAACAGAGAGTGAGGACAGGATGTTGTTAGACATCAAGCGAATGGGGCGAAAAGAAGGGGGTGAAGAGAAGTGAAGGTGAACACGATGTCAAGTACGAACAAGCCCAGTGTTGTTCCCGAAAGGTCTCATGCAAACAAGAGGGTGGCAAATGTTGATTATTATTTCTCTCCGCCTCCACCATCTCTCTCCGTTCTCTCAGATGTACATTCGAGGAAAGGGCGCCGGTGTTAACATTAACTGAACGAGGGTGGCAGTCCCACAGGGCGCTAGCTGGCCTCATTAGCATGACTTTGTAGTGCCTCCTCATTTGTAGCTTATTACAGAGACTTGTTGCTGCCTCTGTTCTGTAACTGCCTGCCACTGAGTGATGGTAATTAGTGGCTGCAGTCTTCGCAGTCTCACTCTGTTTCAGTTCCTCGGTCGTCTCAGTTGTCTTCCTTCGTTTGTGTTGACTGAACCTGCATAGGTATTCACAGCATGTGTTAGCTGGGCGGATGTTTATATTCTATTTTTAGGCAAACTGACAACACAGACTGTGGACTCAGTCTTTAAGTATGTATATGTCTAATGTTAAAACACAGAACAGGTCATGTTTATTCTTGACGCACGTGGATCTCACGTCCATCCATCCATTTTAAAGCTGCTCCTGGATCAGTGTGTGTTGGATTAGCATTCTTATCGTGTCTCAACATCTCCCCAGAAGTCTTTTTAGCTTTACTTTGATCAATTTAACTTGAGATTAAAATTTTTCTGGAGGTGCCAAAGCAAAAAAAAAAAAAAAAAATTCCTTAAGCTCATTCCTGCAAAAGTGCAGATTTAATGATAGGTATCTGGGTGATGATCATGCACACATGGACAAATTGCCAGATATGAGGGACCCTGAATTTTCCATCAGATGCACCAGTAGAGAGATGTTGATGTAATCATGATTTTCCAAGTTATGAGTGCCCACTCAGAGCTGTCCCAAAGCTTGGTATTGCTGCTCAAAGCTTTCCTTGGGTCTTAAGCAATACACCTGCCATGACATAGTTGCGTCCCCTAGCAGTGCTAGAGCACTTGCACCAATTGCTGACAGCCAGCTTTTTGGGACCAGGTTATTTCTGGGAACAAAAGAGTTCATTCCACAAGTTACATCGCTGATGCTTGAAATGTTTGAGTTTATGACAGTGCACCAACTCTGACTCTGACTCTCTCTTTATTCATCTGTCCTTGAATGCACTGTAGTGAGCGACAGAGAGCAAACTGTACCCAGCATGCTGTTCAGCAATGTGTAGAGTTTAAGCTTTTCAGTTGCTAAGACACACTTCATGAAACTGGAACCCACTTGAACTTCTTCGTCATCTTTTTAGCACATCAGAAGTCTTCTTTTGCAAATGTGTTGACACTTTTTCATTGGTTTCACAAATTTTTCACACCCTGTTTTAAAACAGTTAACACAAACCCAAAACTCTGTGGTATCAATTGTGTTAAACAAAAGGAAAACTTCTATTCACAGCTGATAGAAATCACTTACATAATTCTGAATCTCTAATGCACCTGTGTGAAACTACTTTGCACAACTCGTCAGTCAGCAATTAGTGTTATCCATCTGTAAAAGATAATACCTCTGTGTTGCTGTTTGCAGGCATGGATCAAAGAGGCCAGATTTTAAATTTTACTGTCCATTGTGTAATGGTTGATTGAATGTTTGAATTGTCTCAACCACATTGTGTTGTTTGATCGTATCGTGAGTGTGTTGAGCATTTTTTAAACAAAATATGTCATTTCAGCCAGCAACTTTTAGTTCAGGCCTGTGTGTGAACTGTTTTGAAAATTTGTTCCAGCAAATAAGAAAAATTGTACTTGTGGTCCTGTCTCAATATACTGCAGTGTGTATATAACACACTACTAATATGTCAAGTAGCACTCAAGAGCTGGCACTCGACACTGCGCTTCCTTGGGCCTTCAGTGGTATACCTGTGTAGTGTGAAGTCAGTCTTCTGAATGGTTGTCAAGAAAATCGAAGGACAGACATATGGAATCACAGAGACTGCTTCCATTTAGTTAAACTGATAAATCATCAAGGTCTCTTGGTGTGAATATAATTTGACAACAATTTATCTTAACAATATGGAGTTGTCACATCCTAAAGTACACATAAAGTAAAACTAGTACTCTTAAATACTGTCACATTGAAGTTGGTGAAGATTGCTTTAAGCAGTACGATATCATCACTGCTCTCAACATGGATGCCATGATGAGTATAATCTATGCATGGTTGGACTACCCAGTGATATTCGAGAAGTCTCATGGCATCAATAACACCCTGGATACTGAGATTGTCTCAAAGTCTGACCATAAAGAGGAGGGCTGTGGAGGGCTTTCCGCTTTACACCTACGGACCTTTGATCAACGTGACCAACTTTTCTTTAATTCCATCCCATATCAAGAATGCAAAAAGAGTAGGAGCTCTAGGAACTACACAGCGCCAGACCCCCTGGCATGGCCATGTCTTGCCCATGTATTTGAAACACAAGAAGCTGAAGAACCTGTCCAAATTTAGTTAGACTAAAAGAGTTTCCTCAGCTTTAGATGAACTCATGTGCAGCTGCGGAAAAATAGGATGTCTCTTAATCATATCAGCTAACCATGGTTTCAGCTCTCTGTCTATACCTCCTTTATTTTAAGATGAGAGTGCACTTTGTTCGTTCAGTGCACTGTAACTTAACAAAGTAAAATGGCACTCAGAGAGCGAAGAGCTCTGCCAACACCAAATGCCGAATCTTGCAATATCAAGGTGCAATATATAATACAATATTGCCGTAGTTAGAACTGCACTGGAAACTGCCACCATTTCGGCTCAGCCACATGCATGTCTGCTGTTGACATCCAAGATGAGAGCTGTGTCCAATCCCAGCCCGGACTTTGAATGTCGTATATTGCAAAGTGAAAAATAATCAGCGTGTTCACCCCATGATTCGGATCCACTCCACAATTTCATGTGCCCTTTCTTGGCTCATGCTCCACCCTTCCTCCAATATGGTCAGTAGTTTCTCCATAATTCTGCTGACAAACAAACAAACTCCCAAAATGAACTGAACACATGACCTTCTTGGCAAAGGTAATAATTCCATGGAATAAAGTAAGATAGATGAGAATTGATATGATAATTTTAGTTGGCTAACACAATGTTAGCATGGATTAGTTAAACCACATGAAGAATGGTTGCTGAGGTAAAGTCAGCTGATGGGTGGACTGTCAAAAAGCTTTAGAGGTAAAAACTATCTATATAATATACAAGTGTCTTTGTCATTCTACATGGTCTATGGCATCAGAGATTCACATTTCAGGTAGCACTGATGGCGAATTGTTTCCTCCTTCACTCCATCTTCCTGTATATTGTTGTCTTGTTCTGGTGTACTTCTCCTCATCTGTCATCTCTCACCTTTGTGTAGAGTCTTTCCAGTCAGTCGTGAGTGTGCTGCCTCAGTTAGACTCGGAGGGAGACATCGGTGCAAATCCAACAGCTGCAGCTGCTGCATCTTCTGCATCTTCGATCAATCCTGTGAGTAGAGGCGACTATTGCTGCTTTTCTTTCTCTGACAGTAATGGACAGGGTATCTGCAGGTTTTGAAAAGTCTTAAAAATCATTGAATTCAGTTTCCTCAGACAAAGGGTATTAAAAAGTCATCGCTTGCCTGCTTTAGGCAGTAACGTTAGTTAGAAAATGACTTTGTATCCAATTGTAGGCTGTTGGTAGGCATTATACACTTAATATGAATTAATCCTTGCAATACGTACAGCTGCGTGGCTTCCTATCGGCTCCTTAGTGCACGGAATTTAATTGTCAGGTCCCCGTGAGTCTTAAATACAGTGAGCTGTGACTGTCTCATAAACGTATGTGGCCAGCGATTCCACTTGTGGTAACAGCGAGTGTTTTATCCTTTAGTATAGTTAACATATTTATGTGTGGTGTCATACAGTTGCTCTATACCTGCACTTCCATCATGAGATCCTGAACCCTCTCCCAAAAGAATACCATTGGGCTGCATATTGTTGCATGTACATCTTGCTATCTTAGTGGTGATGACATTTTAAGAGCTTCTGTTGAGGGACCTGCTTAAGCTTGGTGTGCCGAATAGTAGGCACTCACACTATGGTGGCAAATGTAACTATAGCAGATTCGTTGTCATTGTAGAGTGAGATAGCTGCTTTGTATATAGTAGACAAACAGCCTAGTCCTTTGTAGTTGTTTTTCCATCTACGGTGTAGAACCCAAAATGCTTCCACGCTGCTTCTCAGATGCTTTGGTGTCATTATTGTCCACTCAGGGCGGCTTTGCTCGCCAGTGTCCTCCATAAACTTTGTTTACTGTTAGGCAAGGAGGTTAAAGAGAGGAGAAGTCAGTGTCACATTGCGTCATATCACTGTGAAATCTGGCGCACTGTCAAAGAACATGGGGATGATTGATTCGTTTAACTGAGGCGTCCGCAGTCGGCCGTGGGTTGAAATATATTTAAAAAAGATGTGGGCAAGAATTACAATCCTGCAATCATTGAAAAGGTCCTTAATAAAAGACTGTAAACAAATGCTTTCAACATGAAAATGTTCTATTGTATATCAGCTGCCATTCATGCGAGCATACCTAAAATGTTCTGTCAGGCTGAGCACACCTAAAGAGGTTAAAAAGAGCGCCCCTAAAGAACACCTTAGTGTACACTATCCCTTTATTCCTAATGCAGTCTGCTGTAAACCTCCAACACTGCAGCTTCAGTTACATTGTGCAAGGATACCCCATATTGTCCATGGGGTCATAGACTGTGTCCCAGCCTTCTTTGAATAGACTTGCTAATAGATTGACGATTTACTAAGTCTGAACAAATGGTTGAATTTCGTATACAAAGTGACAGCCCTACTAGCTACAGTAGCTAGGAAACATATCGAGTCATCATGCCCAAGTTTTCAGCATGTTTCCACTTTCATATGGTTAATTCACCCATCAATTTTCTGCTGCTTATGCAGGTCCAGGTTGCATAGTGTGGTAATTCTATCATTAGGAATTATTGTAATGTACTGCTGAGCAGTACTGAGAAAATGTGAATAGATAATTCTAGGCTGTAACCTTCCTACTGGTTTTCCAACATGCTTTGATACCTTGGCTGGTATGGTTGTGAAATAGGTTGATTTCATTCTATGTGGTTTTCAAAAGAGCCTTATAAGGTCTTAAATTTAACTTGGTAAACTCTGCAGAAACCCTGGTGTTGATGCGTCTGGTTTGCATGTATCAGACTGGGATACACAAAAAAAGGAATTCCTACTTTAAATAAACATTATTGTGACCTCATTGTAATTCTCATGCATCAGACTCTTTTATATCTACAATGTTTTCTTTCTCACTCACTGTATCCTACATATGTCCTCCTCCTACTTTTGCCCTTTGCTTCATTATTTTCTGGCCTCTGCAGTTCTTTGCACCATTGTTTCTCTCCACCTCAGCTGCTCATTCTCCATCATTCCTCCCACTGAGACTGTAGCTAGCATCATAACGGTTGGCTGATTATGCCTTTTGAAAGTGTGGAGCTGCAGAATCTCAGACTGGTTCAAACATGGCAACTCATGTCTCTTTAATGCCACCACACTGTACTTAATCGGGGACAATGATAACCTCTTCAGCAAAGCTCCTACAACATACATAAGTACTTTGATTGTCTGGCGCACCACCGTTTCAAATTTACAGAAGACAAGTGCCAACTCAGATTAGCTTTTAAAAAGCGATGTACAAAAGACGTCGGAGCACAGTAGGGCAGCGGCAGCTCCCTGGATGGGCGCTCCTTCACTTCACTGTGCTCCCTATCATTGAATCACAGGGTTGCTTGAATAAAACATTAAGCTGCAAGAATAATTGTATGGCATGAAATAATTATCCACAGAAACAGCCACCATTTTCTGCTAAGATGGTTGTAGCATGCAGCTGTGAGTCTGTGTCAAAAGATTAATCTGTATTTGTAATGTTACTCAAACAGATGACTGAACCCTTTCCTTACTTGGTCTGAATCCCACAAATATTTACAAACTGTTATCCTGAACGGCTGATTAAGCATCAGAATCATCACAATTAAATGAATGAAAGTTTAATCAGGATGAATGCTTTGTTTAGTGCGGTGAGGGGGCTGGTGGAACATGTATCAGCACCAGGCAATTATTATTTAAAAATATTACTGGGCCGTTTTTTAAAATTGTGCACAGTAAAGGCTTAAGAGCAGCTTTGTGGTTTTGATGCACCAGAGTTTTAAACTTTGATAAAAACCTAACATAAAAAAACAATACTCAGTACTTAAAAAAAAACTACCACACAGTGCTGGTATGGGGAAAAAATCACTTAATACATACTAACACATTTGACAATACATTAGCCTTGGGTTGAAAATTAGATTGGAGATCTGTTTTTTTGTAGCGTAGGTACTTCGATACCATCAAATGTGATAGTTTGGTTGGTTTTATAATGTCATACATCAACAGACACATAACACACGTCCAAATATTCACAAAATGAAACAAACAATAAAGAAAACCAAAACAAAAGACAGAGACCCAATCCAACCTGGAGACATGCAGAAACAAAAAAAAGTATTAAATGAAATAGAATAAAACAAACTAGAAATAGCATTTAACACGAACAGGTGTCAGGCATAAAATTGAAGCACAAAGCAGTTACAAAATGTGTTGAAATGTGAACAAGACTGAATCGCCGTGACGTTGCACTAACAACAGTCACCTCCTTGTAAGTAACAAGGAAAATATAAAATATATTATCCTTGGTAGACAACAGGCAGTCGATTACAGTTGTAGAGATATGTCAAATCAGTAAACTTGTTGATTTCTGTTGTCATTTTCGGCCGTAACTGTAACATTTAAACATATATAGTTAAACACATCTGGTGACCTATCAAGGGTGTACCCTGCCTCTTGCCCAATGTCAGCTGGGATAGGCTCCAACCCCCCCACGACCCTCAAGAGGATAAGCGGTTACGAAAATGGATGCATGGATACTTAAACTCAGTGGTGCGACTTATCTGACATTTCTGCTGTGCTTATTTTATATAGTATGTTGCTTTGCTATGATCTTTGACAAAGCAACTCTACCAGCACGGATGCAAAGCACTGTAGGCCTACTGCTGTGGACGAGGTTGCAGCAAGATGTATTTAGCCACCTAAAAAAATCAATATCAGTGTAAATGTACGCTGTATTTGAGTATTAGCTCCACTTTACCTTTACCCACACTTACCAATAGACCTTTTTCACAGCAGACATTTTGACTAGTCATCGGAGGAAAAGCACAGGTGAAACTGATAACATTAACAGTGGCTGAGTTCCAATTAGTGTCCCAGTAAGCTATTCCAGTGTGCCAGCATGCACAATGTCAAAGCCTGTCATGAGTGGAATGCAGCCATCATTGATGCCATTTAATACACCTGTGCTTTTCCTACAATGACGAGGCAAAATGTCTGCTGTGAAAAAGGTCTATTGAGGCAGCAATAGACCAGCAACTCGTGTTCTGCGAAGTCAAATTACTGTTTTTACCAATGGAGTCTGTTGGCTTTTATATAATGGCTTTCATTCCCTGTTGGAAAACGCTGTCTGACGGTGAGGTAAAGCAGTGAAAATATTCTAAATAGGGCGTACACTTAAACTGATACGATTTTTTGTTTCAGTGGGCCTTTTTTAGGGGGCTAAAAACTAACTAACTGAGGCAGCATTTGCTCAGCCCGGTTTGATTTTTATGTACGTGACATGAGCATTTTCACTAGGACTTCATTGCCAGGCAAAGGCTTGGGTCCATGTTTACTTCTTGTCAGCAGATGTCGTTCACATAAAACATGTTGCCAAATATTTCAGCAGAAAATACAAACGGAGCCATTTAGAAGGTTTATGTTGTCAAGTTTGAAACGGTCTAAAGTGATCCACATAATTGTTATACTCTGTGCTGTCACTTCTGTTTTAAATGCACCAAGACTTCAATAATGCTGCATGGTTAACTCTACTTTCATATCAGTACCCATTTTATATTTGAAGCCCCTTTCACACACGCACTGCAAGCCTGGAATTATCCAGACATTACCCAGAGGAGCTGTATGTGAGAACGCAAACATCCAAATCAGTTGGATCGGACATTAAACGGATGTTGTCCTGCCAGCTCCACACTAATGTGCGATTGAGCCTGTGTGTAAATAGAGCAGGTAATTGTCCTCTTCTTCTAATTGTTAGTCTTTCAGTTGGTGTATGGTAGAAACCAGACATGAACTTTTTAGAATGCAACGTGACTCACTTGTGATGAACTCTCTTTTATATCCTGTGAGGTGTTAATACTACTCACTATCCTGCTTTAATAATATCATGATTCAGGACCTGAAATGTTAAATGATGTACACTCTGTCTCGAATATCCTCTCTGGTCTCCGCTGTGTCTCTGGCAGGGGTGTGTGTGTGTGTGTGTGTGTGTGTGTGTGTGTGTGTGTATGTGTGTGTGTGTGTGCTGTGTTTGTCTGTCTGGACTGGAGATTTGGG